TAATAACAGTAATAATAGTAATAGCGGTTAAGAAGGGGTCGGAAAATTATTTTCCATATTAAAAGCACTCAGAGAATATACAGTGGTCACATTCACAGAAGAAATTGAATTTTCAGCTTTTTCATTTTTTTTTTTTTTTTCAAACTACCTAAATACTTGGATTATGTATTGTTACTTCAAAGAATTACCAGTAATTTTTGCATTGTTTTTTTTAGCACAGTATCATTCATCTTCAACAATCAGAACACCTTACATTTGTATAATGAAAGAAAATGATGGGGTATCGGAAGTTGGGAAGGAAGAATGGGAGAAATAGAAGAGTGTGATTAGTGAATAGCAGATTACGGTTTTTTACAATCTGTTAATTACGCTTCGTTTTTCATTTCCCACTGATATATAAATACATTTATTAAAATCTAATTGATTGTTTTTTTTTTTGAAAGTAGAACAAAAAATAATCAAGTATCTATTTTCAGGCAACTTCTATTGTACAAGTTGTGATTTTTTTTTTGTCTCGCTTATTATAAATTTTCTGTCAAGAAGGTTAAACAAACAAATAAACGGAAAAAATACTCCATAAGTTGTGTTCACCGAAATATCTAACGTCTAAAAAGGCTGCAAAAAAATTATGAACGCTAAGTTAGTTAGTCGGTTAGCACCCGCAAATGTACTCCATTAATGTTGTGCACACGTGGAGAGGTTAGTTTCTTGCAGTCGTCTCATCTGACTTTTCGCCGCTCCTCGTGCCTCATTCTTTCTTCCAGTATGTTCTAACGTCGCACAGGCACTTTTTCCATTCTCTCTGTACCGCCATCTTTCCCTCCATTTCCTACCCCTTCCTCCCCCGTTTCCTCTCCCAAACTTATAGCTGGGAAAAAATACTCCCATAATGACCGTTACTGAACGCTGAACTCGATAATTTCTTCGGTTTTTTGTTCTTTTTTCGCAACAAGTGATGCACAAAACAAACATTGAATATGTCAAAAAAGAATTCTTTTTTTTTTTTTTTTTTTTTTACATTTACTATTTGTTGACATTTGGTTATTGGAGCAGACCTTGACAATTTTCTTCTTGTCCTCTGCTTGCAGTACTCTTTATACAACACTGGAATTATATGTGGTTACATTATTATGTACAAATTAAAAAAAGAATCAATGAAGTATACGGTACAATACCAGTCGGTAACAGCATTGAAGCGGATATTTGTTCTAAATTTCTACACCTGCAACTTCACTGAGTAACCAGTAAAATAAACAGTATTATTTGTTGAATGTATATTTAACAGTCAAAAATAATAAAACCTCAAAGCATTTTTACTGTTTTGATTGCAACAATAATCTTTTACACCATATTTCAGAAGTCACTCATAATGGTGTTCAAACTATGTTCAGTTAGTTGATGGGTTAGTTCCTATTTTGATTATGGGAATGGAAGAAACGTTAGAAACCAAAAAAAAACCGACAATGGTAACGGTGACAATGATGACTAACGACAACAAATAAATGACGATTAACGATCACATGTTTTCCCTCCTTCTCATACACTTTATTCGTACTGATAGTTTCAGATAACAGTAATATTAAGCAGATAACTCTAGCCTTTAACGGCAATATATATATATATATATCCAAATTTTAAATTTTCGAAGCATTTAATTACGCTACAAAATTCTTCACTGAGCTCTCATATAAGGAAAAAAAATTTTTTTTTTGGTTCACACAACACGGTTTCGGTACTGTGTTTCTTCAATAAAATTTCCTTGTTTTAAGAATTTTCTGTTGAAAAAGTCGATGAAGAAATGTTTTTAACTAACTAAAGTGAAAGATCAGAAAGATATTTGTAACAGTATCTGTTGCAGTAGGTAGCGTAGTGTAGGTGTTGGTCGGAATCAGTCACTCTGCAGTCAGCAACTATGAATATTAAATTCCAATTACCACCATACTACTATTAACAAATCGCCAGTAAAGCGTTCATTTAGCAAATCTACGGTCAAAAAGAAAAGAAGTTGAGTAAAAAAAACTCAGCTGATTTAGTTTTTTGATCTTTAATAAAATAGCACTACATATGTAGGCGTATTATATAGATATATGTCGTATAGTGGGTATTTTAGTGTTATAATATGAAAGAGCAATTTTGCTAGTGATGATAGCTGTTGAAGATAAGTTGTATCTGTATTTAAATGTTACTCAATACCTTATGGTATTTTACCGGGAAGAATCAGTAAGACGACAAAAACTTATTTATTTTCTTAATATTCCAAGCGGAGGTTGATGAAATTGAAGTGGCTGAAGAGATCTCAACATAATCTGCAGTGTTCTTGTTTATATAAAATATTGGTTAGCAGTAGTTTAGGTAAAAAACTATGTAAATTAAACCTTTTTTTACGCTTATAAACAAAACTTTTTATGGAAATAATTTGCAAATAAACAAACAAAAAACTGGTTAAAAAAAAGATTAGGTACAGAAAAAAAAAAAAAAAGAACAGGTTGCATTAGCGGGTAAAAGATTTATCAGTCAACGCTTGTTTTTCTAAACGGTTCTTCAATCAGTATTTCAATGTTATTTCAATTCAGGTAATCTATGCGCTTCTTCAATTCCTTTGAAAAAGTTGTCATTTATTTTTTTTGTCATTAATGTTATCTCTTTTTTTTCTTTTTTGAATATGTCCATTTTGTAGAAAAATTTTTTATTATAATGACAGTAAAATTTTGAAAATAAACATCGTTTTTTTCTTCCCATTTGTCTCTTCCTAATGCTATTGTTTATTGTAATGTTTTGTCGGCATTTTCAAATGCTTAGCAAAACATTATGCATCAATTTTGCACTGTATAAATATTTCTTTGATTGTTGATTAGATGGATGAATGTTCCGCTGACAGGAGGATGGCCTGATAAATGACATAAGGCAGTTTAGTTGGCTGTGTTGTAGTTTCCTATTTTTTGATCGATCATTTACATAATTTCCTCTTTTTTTTTCCCCCTTGGTGTTCTATAACAATGTAATTTTTCTTTAAAACAAATAATTTCACACTGTAAATCAATTATTTTGGTTTCAAAGATCATATAATTGGTTGTAGTAGTTAAACACCACCACCACCACCAGCAGCAACAACAACAACAACACTAATGGTGGGAACTTGGAACTGAGATCAACAATGTTGAAGACGTTAGTATGGTTTCAGAATGACCAACTGATGTTTATTATGGCAAACAGTAGGAGAAGAAGAAGAGAGAGAGAGAAAAAAAAGGAGAATTTAAAGAATCCAAAAATTAAATAAATACATTCTTTTTACAATATTTTTTTCGTTCAAATGTTTCAACTACGGTACACCGATAGATTTATCAATGTGTCTGTTGATTAGTCACAGTGGTTACGAAAGCGTCGTCGATAAAGGAAATATTTAA